GCGGGCGCAGGATGCAACGTCCGAGAATTTGCATCCGTCTGCTCTCTGGAGCCCGCGCAGGAGCGGTCTGGGCCGCCTGGGCGCCCCCCTCCAGCGCAGGGCGGGCGGGCGGCTCCCGGACGTCGGGCGAGGAGCGCTGCCGGCCCCTCGGGCGACCTCCCGCGGGCAGCGCCGCGGTCGTGGCGGAGGAGGCCCCTGCGCGCGTCGAGGAGCTGCCCGACCTCCGGGCGCGCTCCTGCGCGCGCCCCGCCGCCGCCTCGCCGGGGAAGTCTCGGGGCGCCGGGCTCGCCCCGAGCGGCGGCCGGGGCCCGAGTCGCGAGGCTTCCTGCGGGCACCGTCGCGCATCCTGCCGCGCCGCCTCGCCGCGGACGCCGACGCGTCGACGCCGCGACCGCCGCCTCCGCCGCGGCCCCGGCGCCGCGCGCTGCCCCCGTGCGCCGCCGCGCCGGGCGGGGGGCGAGGCGCCGCGGCCGTCCGCGGCGCCGAGCAGTCCGACCGCGCGGTGCCCGCCAAAGACGCCGGCCTCTCTGGCGCCCGCGAGGAGGTCTTCAGCGGCGGCGCCGCCGCGGCCAGCCGCCTCGGGCGCGTCGAGGCCAGCGCGTGGCAGGCCGATACTGCGCCCCCCAGGGGCTCGGCGGGGCGGCCAGGGCTGCGGCCAGCGCGACATCCCGCGCGGGCGCCTTGCCGGGGAGGAGGCCGTGCGCATCGCCCGGGAGGCGATGATTCGCCCTCATGGATACCAAGGGCCAGTCGGGGAACGCCATGCTGAGCGACGCCGCGCTTGGCGCCGCGGCCAGCCCGCGGGGGGCCCGGCGGTGGAGAATCCAATTTCCATTGGGCGCTTGAACGGGGCGAGGGGCGATGCGACGGCGACGCCGCCCAGGACTTCCTCAGCGCCGCGCGCCGCAGGACTTCGAGGTTGGCGCTGGCGGATGCCGGGCCCCCGCGGCGGGAGCTCTCGCCCTGCCCAGCGCGCTGCTTCCGCGAGGCCTCCTTCCGCTCCAAGGCGACGCAGTCGGGCGAGGGGGAGATTGCCGGGGATCTCAGCGCCGCCGCGCCGCGATGCGCCCGGAGCTGGGGCAGGCCTTCCCGACTGCCATCGCGGGCATGCGTGCCCTCGCGTTCCCGCTGAAGTGGAGCGCCCCAGCCTTGCCGAGGCGACCATCGCCGGCGCCTGCGCCCAGGTGTCCAGCCTCATGGCGAACATCAGGGACAATGCCAAGAAGCTGAAAAACGCGCGCCCCTAGATTCACGACGTCCGGCAGACGTCCGAGCTGATCCAGCCGAGAGCGGACCGGGCGAGATATGCCCCGCCAGGCCTGTCGTGATCAACGCCGCGATGACTTCGCGCCGACGGCGACCTCCCCAGTCCCAGACATGATGGCGTCGTAAAAAAATCAGGACGGACGGTTTTGGGGTATTTTCGCCCTCTAGAGGTCCTCGCCGGGCCTCGGGACCGTCAAAAAACGACTCAGGACGAAAAACCGGTCTCGGGGAAAGGGTCGGGACTTGCGGGGACGCCGTCCTGAAAAAATCAGGACGTCGCATGTCTGGGGTTGTTAGCCTCTAGGAGGCCCCGGGCGAGATCAACGACTGCCGCCGACGTCCCTCTCGTGAAGGAGAGGCCGCATCACGGACATCCGTGCGAGGATGAACCCGGAGATTTCCAGGTCTTCCGAGGGCGGGTTTGGCACGCCAGTGCAGCTCCAATGCGCAGCAGCGCCGGGCCTTGGAGGTCACCCTGCACTTGCCCCTCACTCGTCGCTCCCGCGTCAGCCCCAGGAGTGGGCACTTATACTCGTCGAAGGCGGCGCGGTGCTATGGCCGCCCATTGGGGGCGGTGACTGGGGGGCGGCGGCGCTGCTCAACGTGCATTGGCGCGCAGTCTGCGTTGCACCATGATTGCGCCCGCGCGCGGACAGTGGCGCGCGCGTCGACGCGCGCGGCAGTGCCAGTCGCAGGGCGCCGCTGGCGAGGTCACGCCCAGCGTCGCTAATCATGCGACATCAGCCACCGGGCTCGCCGTCATGAGCCTGACAGCGACGCGCAGATCAACGCGGTTGTTATGGCATTAGGCGGCCCCGCTTCTTGGGCAGGGACAGCCGACCGACCCAGCTCCCCTCGCGCGGCTGCCAGCAGCGCGGGCCCCGCCGCGCCGGCGACGGACCGGCGGGGGGCTCGTGGCTCCACCGTCCTCCTGAACGCGCTGCGCAGCATGCGTGCACGTGCGTCTAGACAGCCGCTGCCGCATGCCGACGGGCTCGAACATGTCTGAGTCCGCTGCGCTGGCTCTAATGCCATCGGCGACTGACCTGCGACGAGCGCCGCGAGGATGACCCAACCATCCACCCGCTCATCGCAGATCTCGTTCGACAGGAGCACTATCGAGAATCCGTTCCATGCCGTCAGCGGCCGGCCAGCCTCTCCGTCAATTGAAGGGGCCGTTTTCTCTCGCAGTAGAGTTGGCGCCATGTAGACAACAACGCGCGCGTCTTCGTCGCGAAGCTCTGGCGGGCACAGCGCGCCGGGCGCTGATTAGGTTCTACGTGCGCGCGCCTAGCGTTGGCACTCCAGCACCGCCTCAACTATGAGGTGCCAGCAATGCAGCACGCCACCACAGTGGTCAGCGCTGCATCACTGGCCACGCTTTCTTACAGACTATCCGGAATGCATCGCGGTGGCCTGGCGCGTTGGCCACGCTGTGTTGCCGACGCTGGGGCAGCTGCGAACGGCCGAGGCAGGCTCTTGCGACGCTGGGCCGCTGTCGGCCGCGCCCGTGCAGCACGCGCCTCGTCGGCGGCGCCCAGTCACCAGACAAACGCGCGGACCAGTAAACAGTTGTGCTTGGCAAGCGCTAGCAATTAGAGGCACGCTGCCACGAGCCGTTCTGCTGGATGAGCTGCATCGGCGCGCGCGCGAAACAGGGCGCGCGCGTTCTCCCCAGCCGCGCAGCCGCGCGAGCGACGCAACGGCCAGCTACGCCCGCGGGCACCCACTCCCGAAAGAGCGCCGAAGGCGAGCGGGCGCACCAGGAGTGCTGGCAGTATAGCCAGGGAGCGAACCTGGCTGGAAGGCACGATGGGCGCTGCGGCCCGAGCGCGCGTCGGGCACGATCTGCGCTGGGCCTCCAAGAAGCGCCCCGCCCCCAGTTGTCGGGCGATGTCGGCCGGTCGACACCACCTCGGGTAAGAACAATTTCTTTGGGCTTGACCTGCTGCGGGGTGCCGTTGCGACTCGCGATTCTGGTCACGGTCATATCCCACGTGCGAGTTGACCACAGACGGGCCGACAGGGCTCCCCAGGGTTCACGACAGTCCGTTCGTGTCGAGTCTCCTGAGACATGGATGATGTGTACCAGGCGCCCATCACGACGGCCGCGCGGTGAGTGCTCTGGCGCCTCATTGCGGGTGGCCCTCTGCGGCCAAAGTGTTGCGGAAGGGCATTTTCCATTGCCCGGTAGTACCGGTTCGAATAGGACCCGCGCGCGCGTCCGCCGCCGCCACCGCGGCTCAACCGTGCGCGCGGACTATGCGAGATTGAATGGGACAAGGCGCGCCGCTCTGCTATCTCTCTTGTTACCATTGCCGCCATGGTCCGTATCTCTCACCACTGTCTGCCGCAATTCTAGTTCCTCCGCCTCCTACTCCTCCTACTCCTCTCGGGTTGCAGAACCTGTCCTCCGCCGTTCCGTTCGTGACCTCGCAGAGCCATTCTTCCGCTGTTTTTGAATCGCCCCCCCCTCCCCCTTCGGCTCCTCTGCGGATTCCTTCGCCCCTCTATCCTGCCCTGCGTACCTCTCCCCGGTTGGGGGGGGGATGGGGGGGGCGGGAGGGAGAAGTGGAAGAGGTGGCGGATGAGGACTGGCTTGGGTCCGCAGTTGGGTTCAGGAGCGGCTTCCCATGTGTAGCCCCTCCCAGGCAAGGCCCCCCGCGTCGGCAGCGGCACAGCGCGCTCTTTCACACATATCCCGGCCAGGCCCATCCTGGGCCCAGCAGCGGTGTATATGCCACCCTGGCCAAGCCAGGAGGGCGTGTAAACCGTTCCTTGGCCCAGGATGGACCTAGCCAGGACCGCGGATGCGTTCAGACTTCGTCGCCTTTTTGGACGTACAACATCAGCAGCAGCTCGCCGAGCAGAGTACTTCACTTTGGGAAACGAGCCCAGGGGGGGGGAGTGAAAGGGGGCAGACCTTCTGAGAAGGCGGCGGGGCTTATCAGGAACCCTCGCAACTTTGGGGGCCCTTTGTGGCTCCTGACAAGTTTTACCCAGTTTTTTTTTTTTTTTTTTTTTTTTTTTTTTTTTTCTCAGAAAACGCGAAGGTTTCTGAAAACAACGCCGCCTTCTGAAAAGGTCAGCCTCCTCTTAGTTCCCCCTGGGCCCGCTGCGTAGACCTGACCGAGAGGGCAGCGCTGGCATTCACCAGCGGAACGAAGCTTTGCGCCGAGATTCGCGGGCGTCGGCGTCGTCGTCATCTTCTTCGTCGTCGTCGTCGCCTGCGGCGTCGTCGACGTCGTCGTCCACGTCGGCGTCGGCGTCGGCGTCGCCGTCGTCGTCGAGCAGTCCTTGACCTGACCGTCAGCGCAGCGCTGGCGCTAACCAGCGGAACGACGCTTTGCGCCGAGCCTCACGGGCGTCAGCGTCGTCGTCCTCGTCCTCGTCCTCGACATCTTCGTCGTCGTCGTCGTCGTCCTCTTCCTCGTCCTCGTCGTCTTCGTCGTCGTTGTCGTCGGCGTCAGCGGCGGCGGTCGACAGAAGGGGCCCCCCTTGCGGCCCCCGACCCCCCGCCGGAGGGGAGGCGAGAAACCCGAGCGGGGCCTATTCGCCAGGGCTCGCCGCCCGATGCGGGGAGGCGCAGGGCTTCGTTGCGCTCGACCTCGACGGCGACGACGGCGACGACGACGGCGACGACGACGACGACGACGTTGTCGCCGTCGTCGGAGGGGGCCCGCCGCACCGTCGGCCCGGGAGGGCCCACGCCGGCCAGCCCCGCGGCGGGGGAGGTCGACGTCGAGAGGCCCGAGGCCTACTGCCCGCTCGACCGCAGCTCCTTCGGCGGCGAGGCGGTGGAGATGCCGCCGCCCGGGGCGCCGGTCGATCCGGCGGGGAAGGGTCGGCCACGCGCAGGTCCTCCTCCTCAGGTCCTCCTCCATCTCAGGTCCTCCTCCTCCTCCTCCTCCTCCTCCTCCTCCTCCTCCTCCTCCTCCAGCCGTTGCCGGCGCGGCACTCCACCTGGCATGCTCAGGTGGCCCAAGAGGGGGGAACGTCGGCCACAGCCGTTCCAGGCGCGGCAACACGGGCCACCGTGCCCTACAGGGTGGTGGCACCAGGTAGCTGTGCCCATCAACGGGGTCAAGGCGCCCTAAAGCCATATCGCCTCAAGTCCTCCTCCTCTCCTCCTCCTCCTCCTCCTCGTCCTCCCCTCCTCCTCCTCCTCCTCCTCCTCCTCCTCCTCTCCTCCTCTGGTCCTCCTCCTCCTCCTCCTCTCCTCCTCCTCCTCCTCCTCCTCTTCGTCCTCCTCCTCCTCCTCCTCCTCCTCCTCCTCCTCCTCCTCTTCCTCCTCCCTCTCCTGGTTTCCCCCCTCTCGTTGCGCAAGCCGGCGGCGCGGCGCGGCGCCGTCGTCGAGTGTCGTCGATCGGCGGCGCGGCCCCGCTCCTCCTCCAGGACTGGGCGTTGCGTGCAGGAGGAGCAGGAGGAGGAGGAGGAGGAGGAGAGAGGAGGAGGAGCAGGAGGAGGAGGAGGAGGAACAAGAGTAGGGATGGATGGAGAGGAGGAGGAGGAGGATGAGGAGGAGGATGAGGAGCATGGGAGGAGAGGAGGAGGAGGAGGAGGAGGAGACCCATGCCAAGATGCGGCAGGCAGAGCGCAGACACAAGCAGAAGCAGAGCCGACCGAGGAGAGGATGGAGGACGGGGGATGGGGGATGGGGGATGGGGGATGGAGGATGGAGGAGGAGGAGGAGGAGGAGGAGGAGGAGGAGGAGGAGGAGGAGGAGGAGGAGGAGGAGGAGCAGGAGGAGGAGGAGGAGGAGCAGGAGGTCCGGCGCGCGAAGACGGCGGAGAGCGACCAGCGGAGGAGGTGGCACTCTCGTGATGGGGCGTGCGCTGAGAGCTGCTGGCGCGCGCGCAGCCAGGCCTTGCCAGGATGCGGCAAGCCCAGACCCCCTCGAGTAATGAAAAAACCATGACGGGAGGTTTTTCGCTATTTTCGGCCCCTGGGGGCCCCCACCGGGCCTCGGGAGCGTCAGAAAACGACTCAGGATGCAAAGCCGGTCATGGGGAAAAGGTCAGGACCTCTGGGGGTCGACGTAATGAAAAAATCATGACGTCGGGGGTCTGGGAGCAGGAAGCAGAACCGACCGAGGAGACAGGGCAGGCCCAAGTCCACGACGCAGCTCCCGATGCAGAGTGCGGACGCTCTGGTCACGGACGAGGTTCTCAGCGCGCCAGGGAAACATGCTGGGCGACGAGCTCTATACACATGCGCTGCCCCAGGTCTGGCCCATCCTGGGCCCAGCAGCGGTGTATACAGTGGAGGCCCTGCCCAGGTCTGGCCTATCATAGGCCTATGCCAAGAAACACCCTGCTTGACTCCAGGGTGCCCTGGACTTTTTGGGTTTCGATGGTTTTGCCACAGAGAGCGCGACGCTCCCACACCAAAAATCCATGGACGTCTTGGACGTCCATGGACGTCCAGGGGTCTCCATGGACGTCCTCTTGGGCGTCGCGTGATGGCCCGCCACGCGCAGAGGGGGATACCCTTATGGCCTTATGGGAACGAACAATGACATGAACCTAAAAACTCGGAGGTCCGCGTGGATTTCCCAGATCATCGGCGCTGGACCCCCTTGGCGGCGCCTCCGGCGCCGCCCCTGGCGCGCTCCGATCTGAGAAATCCGCGCGGACCTCCGAATTTTTCATTGTTTGTGTCCCTAAGAGGGGGATACCCTGACATCCAGGCGTTGCAATTGTTTCACGACGGGCATTTTCGCACCGCTTCGGGCCCCGGGGCCCTCACAGATATCGACCCGGCGCGAAGACTGACGCAGAAGGATGGGGTCCAGGCTTTGGTCGGGATTTTTTGCGATGTTGCGATTTCTTCGCAGCGTCGGGTCTCAGGGTAGGGGGAGCGGGGAAGGCTCCACTGCCTCTGAGAAGGCGCGGGCCTTGTCTCCAGGTGCGAGGCCGGCGCCTTCTTCGAAGCGGCCTCCTCCTGAGAAGCCTTCCCACCTTTGCGCCCCCTTGTGCGCGTCAGGGGGGAAGGGGGGAGGAATTGTTCCGTTGGCTCTCTTTAGGTCTTTTTTCCAGTCTTCTCTGACAGTTCACAGGTGGTGAGAAACTCAGCGTGCCAAGGCGTGTAACAAAAGAATGGTAAAACATCAGAACAAAAGAAAAGAGTTGGTTCCTGGAGGTTCTCTCGCCTCGGGGTGCGTTTTCCGGCCTCTGCGCGTCGCCGCGAGGGCTTGCCGGAGATGCCCGGATCGTCCCGAGCGGCCGCCGGAGAGGCCCGAGTTCCGGCCCGACAGCCATTGTGCGTGGAGGGGAGAGGCGGGTGCCGTTCCCTCCTCCCGGAGCCCATCCCCTTCCTCCCCATCCTTCCTCGCCCTCGTCCTCCCTCGGCCCTCCCCCGTCGTTCCCGCGTCCTGCATCTTCCTGCTGCTTCCTCCTCGTCCCCTCCCTCCCTCCGTCATCGCAGGCCTAGGGGTTGACACCAAGTCCACTATCGGCGGTGCGCCTCCACCGAGGGAAGAAGATCCCGATCTCGGTGATGTTGGTAATAGTATGGCTTCCAAAGTGGCCGAAAAGTTAACCACCGACACCGAGATCTAGGATCATCTTCCTGCTGTGGAGGCAAGCCCCTGTGTTGGTGTTGGTGCCCATCTCCAGGCCTCCAACATCACTGCCCGTCTTCCTCAGTCCATCCCCCGCCCTTGTGAACGACCCGTGCTCGTCGCGTCACCAGGGGTGCCCGCAAGAGCGGACTGGGCGTTCCGCCCGAGACCGTTATGGACGGCGGTGCCTTCTCAACACGTATCCTTCAGTCGGGCCTGTGACTCTACAGGGGGAATCTTCAAGAGTAGTTCAAAGTACTGCCTGGAGACGGTGTTTCGATTATGTTTGCACCTGTTCGAGTACTGTTGGATGTTCTGTTATCTTTCGCCCCAACTTTGCCTGTAGGATGACACGCCCGGCCTAAACGTACCGTCATTTTAACGGCAGGTCCATTGGATTCTCTTCTTTCAAGTGGAAGAGGTTCCCGCGTTGAAGCAGAATGCCTGTGGAGGTATGATGAGCGCGGTCTTGAGACGGGAGGAGATATTGCGGCATCGTTGATGCACCTTGGGTTCACTCTGGTCTTATTTGTCCTCCCTTCCTTCGTTGTTCTTCCTCCTCCTCGTTATCCCTCCATCCATCCCTGCCCGTCCTCCCGCCCTTCCTCCTCCTTCTCCTCCTCCTCCTCCTCCTCCTCCTCCTCTTCCTCCCCTTCCTCCTCCTCCTCCTCTTCCGTATGTGTTCCTCGTCGTTTTTTGCTCCCGCTCCGTCCATGTTTGCATTCTTCTCGGTCCAATCACCATTCCTCTCTGCGCAGATCTTCCGCGTTATCTGTTCATCTCGTTGTCGGTGTCGATGTCGTCATCCTGCCCGTTTCCCTTTCTTCTGCTAGCCATGAGGGCGTTGCCAGTAGGCACCTTTCGCGAGGGGTGGGGGCAAGAGGACCACAAGGAGATCGAGGAGGACGAGGAGGAGGAGGACGGCTTTGACGAGAGCGGCGGGCGCCGATTGGGAGGCGTCCGCAGGGCAACGGGCGCCATCAGGACAGAAGTTCGCAGCATGCCTCCTCCCTCCTCCCTCCACCTCCTCCTCCTCCCTCCTCCTCCTCCTCCTCCTCCTCCTCCTCCTCCTCCTCCTCCTCCTTCTCATCCTCTTCCTCCTCATCATGCTCCTCCTCTTCCTCCTCCTGCTCCTCCTCCTTCCCCTCCTGCTCCTCCTCCTTCTCCATCTCACAGGCCGGGCGCTCTGGCATGCTGCTCCGCGGGGAGGCCTGCGAGCCGCGCGCCCTGCTTCGGGGCGGCGCAGGGCCTGCCCCTCCAAAACCTTCGTTGCCGGCAGGCGCCGGCCTCGTCGTGCCCGACCCGCCTCGGTGCTCGATCCCCGCCTCTCCCCGATCCTCCCCGACCCGCCTCCCCGACCCGCCTCCTCGACCCGCCCCCCCCGCCTCGATTCTCGACCCCCCCTCGACCCGCTGCCTCGACCCGCCGCCGATGCCCGATGCTCCTCCCCGATCCCCGCCGGCCCGCCCCGCCTCCCCGACCCCGCCTCGGTTCCCCCCCCCCCCCGCTGGAGCGGAAGGGGAGGAGGGCGCGCGCCCGGTGCGGAGGGCAGGTGCTGCTGCCGCGGGCCGAGGACCCCCTCGAGGGCGCGTGGGGCGACCTCGCGGGCTGCCCCGCGCTCGGCTGCCGCGCGAGACGGGTCGACCCAGCGCTCACGTCGCGCGCGTCGTCGCCGTCGGCTTTCGCCGTCGTCGTCGCCCTACGCCGTCCAGAGGAGGAGGAGAAGAAGGAGGAGGAGGAGGAGGATGAGGAGGACGGGGGGGGAAGGATGGAGGATGGAGGATGGAGGTTGGAGGAGGAGGAGGAGGAGGAGGAGGAGGAGGAGGAGGAGGAGGAGGAGGAGCCGCGCGAAGACGGTGGAAAGCGACCAGCGGAGGAAGTGGCACTCTCGTGATGGGGCGTGCGCTGAGAGTTGCTGGCGCACGCACAGCCAGACCTTGCTAGGATGCGGCAAGCAGGAAGCATAACCGACCGAGGAGACAGGGCAGGCCCAAGTCCAGGACGCAGCTCCCGACGCAGAGCACGGGCGCTCTGGTCACGGACGAGGTTCTCAGCGCTCCAAGGAAACATGTTGGGCGACGAGCTCTACACATATCCGCTGCCCCAGGTCTGGCCTATCCTGGGCCCATGCCAAGAAACACCCTGCTTGCCTCCAGGGTACCCTGGGTTTCTTGCGTTTCGATGGTTCTGCGGTTGAATGCGTGACGTTCCCACGCCAAAAATCCATGGGCGTCCTGGGGTGCTAGGGTTGGTTTTCTTGTGGAAGGTTTCGTGTGGTCGAGCTCCCACTGTACGCCTTCCTGGTATGGCCAGGAAGGCATATACACCGCTCGTGGGCCCAGGATGAGCATATGATCAGTTGACCCTGGAGGAGCAGGCCGTGACTACCCACACCAGGCTGCAGCGGCGGATCCAGACGCGCGTTGACTCACGCGGTGCGCGCGCGCAAGGCTCGCATCACAAGAGGAAAGTTCTTCCTCGCCACGGCCCCCGAGGCCAAGCAGCTCGAAACCAGCTCATCTCATCATCCTCCTCCTCCTCCGCCTCCGCCTCTGCCTCCGCCTCCTCCTCCTCCTCCGCCTCCCCTTCCTCCTCCTCCTCCTCCTCCTCCTCCTCCTCCTCCTTCTCCTTCTCCTCCTCCTCCTCCTCCTCCTCCTCCTCCTCCTCCTCCTCTTCCTCCCTCTCATGACCAAGACATCTCAAAACCAGCTGCGCCGCCACTGGCGTGCAGAAGCACGGCCAGGCCCCCCACGTCGGGGGCGAGCGCAGACTCCAGGCCTTGCTGGGCGAGCGTCGCCAGGTCGTCCCCGACGAGGCTGGCAGCACGCACGACGGACTTCTGAGGTAGTGTGGCGTGCCTGCTTCCTCCTCCTCCTCCTCCTCCTCCTTCTCCTCCTCTTCCTCCTCCTCCGCCTCCTTTTCCTCCACCTCCTCCTCCTCCTCCTCCTCCTCCTCCTTCGCCTCCTCCTCTTCTCATCCCTCCCTCCTTTCCTCCTTGAGTGGGTGCTTGCGTTGTTCACTTCATGGGTTTCGATCGGGCCCCAGGGGTTGGGGGGACCGACAGACTTCCCAGCAAGTCCCTCGGACCTCGATCCTCGAAAGCCTTGATCCTCGAAAACCTCAAGGACATGGAAGAACTCGGACCTCGATCCTCGAAAGCCTCGATCATCGAAACTCGGCCACGCGCACAAAGGGAGTAGGGGGAGGGGGGCAGGCTTCTTGGAAGCCAGCGCCTTCAAGAAGCAGCCTCTTTCTGCGATGCCTTCTCCCCTCCCCCATACCCCCCTCTGCGCGCCGCCAGCTTAGGTCCTGCCGCGGGTGCTCCTCTGGCCCTCTTCGTGCACCCAGGCGCTGCTTACCTGGCGCTCCTTATCTCCGCAGCCCTTCCGTAGTGCAAGGGCAAACATACAGTGGCCTTCGTTCCCTCCCGCCCCGACCCCCTTGTGCGCGCCGCCCAGAAACCCGCGAACACCTCGCCCTGTGCACGCCGCTCCGTCGCCCGCCGTCGGCGTTGTCCTCGTCGCCGCCACCGCCCACGACGCCGACGGCGACGACGACGACGACGACGACGACGGCGACGGCGGCGGCGACGGCGGCGGCGGCGGCCGCCCTAGCGTTGTGACCCCCCCGCCGCCACCGCTCCTGCACCCCACGCTGCCCCATGGTCCTCCCCCTGCTCCCACATCCTCCCCCGATAGAGGTAGGACGGTCAACCACGACTCTGAAGGCGCGACGGCGCAGTCCTGTCGAGTGTCAGGCTCCTCCCCCTGCGACGTCGTCCTCCTACCCCTTCGCCAACGCCCTCCTCATCATGGTATCGCCCTCCTTCTTCTGTTCCATCTCCTCTTCCGGCCCTTTGATCCTAATGTGGAACTCGGGTCGCAGTCGGCACAGCGAAGCTCGCTGCCCTCGCGGTCGACTACCCCACAGAGCTTCCAGCCCATGCGCGTCGCAGAGCTCGCGACTAGCAGATCGCCGCTATCCCTCGACGGCTGCCGTTCTCCGCGGCTGCAAGGCTGGAGTGTAGTACACCCCAGGCGATGCTTAAAAAAACTTAAGTTTTCGGCCAGAATCTCGATTATTCTTAATGCTTCAATATAAATCCCATGATTATAATCGAAGTTCTGGGTTTTTATTCAAATTCTGAGACTCTGAATTTCTTAACCCATGATTTCTTGAGCATCTCGCAGGGTGTACGCCGCTTCTGCGTGCCCTTTTTGTGTGATCTGGGCCTGGCCTTGTGCTTGCATGTCTCCACTCGCAATACTGAGTCCTGCGTCCCGCCCGCTCTTCGGATGCCGCGCCTGGCAGCTTTGGCCTGAGCATGCCCGAGCGCTCTCTGCATGCTTGCGCCACCTGCGGCGAGACTGCGACGGCGGATCCCCGTATTAACGACTTGGCGAATGCTCAGGCTTGTCCAAAACAAGGGGCTCGGACATCGGCAGGGGACCGAGCAGGGCCCCTCCCCAGGACGCAGACGGCAGGCCTCCTCCAGGAAGCCTCTGCCAGCACCGCTCGGCGCGAGCACGCTCGTCGCGCCAGGGTGCCGGGGGTGCGCTGACTCTCCAGGGCACTGGGCTCTGCCTCGGCGGGAGCGCGCCCAGCAGCGTTCGGCCCCCTGGCCTCCTCCTCGCCCCTCTTCCCCGCACCTCCGCCCGCGGGCCGTCGCCCCCCCCCCCCGCCCGCCCCGCGCGCACCCGAGGCCCCGTCCCTGGCGAGGTGGGCTTCAACGCCTTCGCGGTGAGCAGGAGCGGGGGAGGCGCTTCCTCCTGCTCCCCCTTCGGCGCGGCCGCTGCCCCGGCTCGAGCCGCTGCCCGCCTCCTCCCCCCCGGGCGCTGCCTCTGCCCCTGCCGTGCAGCTGCGCCTTCCTCCGCCTCCCCCTCCTCCTCCTCCTTCTCCTCCTCCTCCTCCTCCTCCTCCTCCTCCTCCTCCTCCTCCTCCTCCTCGCCTCCTCCTCTTCCTCCTCCATCCTCCTCCCTCCCCCCTCCTCCTCCTCCTCCTCCTTCCTCCTCCTCCTCCTCCTCATCCTCCTCATCCTCCTCATCCCCCACACCACGCCGTCGTTGCAGGACATCCGACCCCGAGCCGAACCTCCGGGTCGGTGCTGGAGGCCGCAGCGGCGGCCCACAGGGTCGGGGCAAGGCTTTCTGTGAATGCTTGGCCAACTGCCCCTTCGTAGCCCCCCTCCCCCGCTCTCTGCGACGTGGTCGCGGCCCATGACTCAGTAGCAGCAGAGTGGCCCGACTTAAGACCTATGCGACCACCCTTCGGGTGATGAGGAGGTTCTGGGGGGAGGAGAGGGGGGGGGAACCAACATCTGACTCAATCGATCTCAACATCGATCTCACTCAACGGGACACCACGGGACACCACCCACTTGTCGATCTCACTATCGATCTCACGATCGATCTAACTCAACGGGACACCACGGGACACCGCGGGACATCTCTCGATCTCATTATCGGTCTCACTATCGATCTCATCATCGATCTCACTCAGCGGGACACCATAGGACACCACGGGACACCACATCGATCTCAGTATCGATCTCACTGTCGATTTCACGATCGATCTCACTCAACGGGACACCACGGGACACCACGGGACACCGGCGGGACACCGCGGGGCACTGGCCGTCGGAGGAGTTACATTTGGTCCGGCCGCGGCCCAGCCACAGGAGGATTTCCTCTCGCCCGCCCACGCAGCTCCGCCTCGCCCGCACGCACGCACGGCACGCACGACACGAACCCGAAACCGAAATCGATTTCCAGGTGGGGGGGGTCTCCGTTTCACGTCGGACTCACCCCCCAACCTCCGACTACTGCCAGAACGAGCGTCTGCGCGGCGCTGAGGCGATCCAGGTGCAGCAAGGGAACAGGGGCAGCAAGGGAGCGAAAGAGGAGGAAGGGGAGGACGACGAGGACGACGAGCGACGAGGAGGACGACGAGGACGACGAGCGACGAGGAGGACGACGAGGACGGCGAGGACGACGACGACGACAAGGAGGAGGGCGGCGAGGACGACGACAAGGAGGGCAGTGAGGTGGATGACGACGAGGACGACGACCAGGAGGAGGATGGGGAGGGGGGAGGGGGGGGCAGGAGGAAGAGGTGGAGAAAGACAAGGGGGGAGGACGTCGGGCAGGAGGAGGAGGAGGAGGAGGAGGCGAAGGACGAGGACGACCAGAGTAACCTTGAGTCGGGCCTGTCCATCTACAGGAGGAGTATTCAAAAATAGTAGAAAAATAGCGCCAGGGGATCATTTTTAGACTATTTTTGAACATTTTGACAATTTTGAGTATGTTTTTTGTCGAAAGTCTGCCTGTAGGGGGACACGCCCGACTTAAGAGTAACCCTAAGACGCGTCGGTGATGTTGCAACACACCCTCCCTCCGAGCTGCCTCTTCAAAGGTCCCTAGAAGCAGGCATTCTCACTGCGGGAAGTGCTCCGTTTGAAGACATCCGTTGGAGCATCCCCGACCGTGCCCAAACACTGTTCCTGGGGTCATTAACGCTTCGAAGCGACATTACTGCTGCGTCCTGACGATCCGGAATCAGGCCAGAACACCATTTCTGAGTTTCTAACACCGCGTATCAACGTATTATTGCG